GGGGGGGGGGGGGGGAGTGTGTGTGTGCTGGGCCCTCCAGTTTTCTCTTAGAAATTAAATTTCACGTGGCTATTTAGAAAAGAATTCCCCCCGACCCATGCCCACAAGAACAGTTTTCAGAGGATACTGTCTGTATGTCACTTCTGTTTAAAAGTCAATAGTATAAAACCACCCTAAATGGTTATTCACCTTCTAATCATTTTGTTTGAAAAGAATGAAAGTGCATAATTTGTTGTTAAACACATTAATATCACTCATTCCTAAACAGCTCACAACACTTAGAAATGCATGTTGCCCTTATCAGGAAAGACAGTTAATACTGCATTTCTCTCTAGTTCATAGGCTATTTTTAAATGCCTCTCCCTAAGACATGCAATTTTGATGTTAAATTGCGTGTAAGGGGATGCCCAGGACATATAGCAACCACCTTAAAGTAATACTAGCCAATGGAAAAGGTACATTTAGACAGTTAAATGACTGGTTGAAGAAACTTAAGTCTACCCAGTCATTCACTGCCAAGAAAAGGCTGACTCACTAATGTTACTGAGAAACATACACTGTTTAAAAACCTAAAGAATGTGCTGTGTCTTTCTGTTGTTTGCAGCTCCAGCTGTGTGCTGCATCATTTTATTTTTGGTTTTGCTCTTTTGCTGGCAATAAAAGATGAATACGCTGAATCTGGAAGTTCCTGCACTTTGGAGTAACTATACCAATTAAGCAGAATAATACTTGGACTGTATTGGACTATGTCTGATTTAGTTTTGCAATACAGAGTGAATTTGGGGCTGCTTCAAACTCAGCATCCCTGTGCAGCTAAATGGGAAGAAGGATGCAGCATCATGGTCTAACAAAGATACTTCTCTTTATTGGAAGATTTCAAACACTTTTCAAAATTCCAAAATCCAGGAAATCTCTTACGAATATCACAAGCATGGTCTTTCTTTTAAATTATCATACAACTAGGAGAACTTGCTCACTGCCTGGAGACTGGGAAGATGATTAAATGAAGTAATGTTTTGTACTGTGTGGGTTGGAAAAGCACCTAAACTTGCAAATGGACAGGTAAGTTCAGTATATATATGAAGCAGGTTACTAGATGCAAAACAATGGAGCTTAGTTGAAAGTTAGGTTTTAAACAGAATATAAAGGCTTGAAATGCATATAATGCAGCTTAAGCAAAAACTGGTATTCTTAAAATATTTGTTTCTCATTGTCTGCATACATTTTCACACTCTCTAGGGAAAGGAACAGCCTCATTGGTGAAATCCACTGTTTGTTTGATTTTAATGGAAAGTTCCCACAGAGGAATACAAACACTTAAAAAAAAAAGTCAGAGTTTAACAAATGCGACGGAGTCTATCTGTTCCATTTATTTCCTTGTTGTCTTGGTTTCACTTGTAAGATGCAGCATAATCAGAAAAGATCTACTGAACATTTTAGCTATGTATGGATAGCAGTCTTTGATCAGCAAGGATCTGGGTTAACTGTTTGCCATGGAAAAACAGAGATTTTCTTTTTTAACGGAGAAAAATGGATTTTCTCCTTTGAAGGAGAAAAACATGGGTAATGGAGGTGGGTTTTTGGTTGTAGCCCTGTTGGTCTAAGGGCATAGGCAGGCAAGGTTCTTTGAGTAGGTGTAATATCTTTTATTAGACCAACTGAGTAGTTGGAAAAAAGTTCTCAGCAAGCTTTCGGGCACAGTCGCCCTTCTTCAGGCATAGGTAGGCTCTGCTGGTCTCAGACTCCAAGAAGTGAGAAACTAAAAGTGTGGCAGGATGTCAGTGAGAATGTAAATAGGTCTTGCATAGGCTTAGAAAGTATAGGTCACTGTTGAGGTGTTAAACAAGCACTGAACCTCGCTAACCTGATCATGAGGAAGCAAACTCCCTATGACCCAAACCATGCCAAATGGATCCAGACCATGCCAGGACAAGAAATGCAAAACCTGCAAACCCATCTCCACCACCCCCACAATAGCTACACCCGACAACAGAACCATCACCATTCCTGGATCTTACAGCTGCACCTTCAGAAATGTTATGTATCTCATCCAGTGCACCAAACGCCCTGATGGAAAATATGAAGAAGCCAACCAACAACTGCGCACCAGAATGAACTCACACTGAAAATCTATCCAAGACAAGAATACCCAACTACCTGTAGGGGCACATTTCTCACAAGACAATCACTCTCTCTCCAATCTCTCAGTTCTAATCCTCAAAGGGAACTTACAAAACACCTTCCCTAGACGAGCCTACAAACTTCACTTCATAAATATACTGGATACAAAAAATCCTGGACTCAATATAGACATTGGCTTTATGACACATTATAACATGTTTGACATCTGATGCACCAGATACCTGCCTGACCTGCCCTTTTACATTCTTCTTTTTCCCCACCTTTTCTCCCCTTCCCTCCCCTCCTTTTCTGTCCTGTCCCCTGTTTTCCTGCTATTTCCTTCTTCATTCAGAGCCTCTTTCTTACCTTGTATTATTACCAAAGTAGTGTTTCCCTTTGGCCTCCCCCCCCGACTTTCTACCCCCTCCCTCCCCTGCTTTACCTTTTGTTTTTACTTATTTATATTTTCACTACATCCTCTCATGCTTTGAGCTGCTCTCATTCCTGTTTTCCTGATCTCCAACTATTTCCTTTTTCACTGACTGCCTCTTTTCTACCTTGTATTCTATCACTGTAATGTCTCCCTTTGGCCATTTCCCACTCTGCTGTCTTCTCCCACCCCTCTCTGCTTTACCTTTTGTCTTTTTAATTTCTACCTGTTTACATTCTCACTAACATCCTGCCACACTTTTAGCTTCTCACTTCTTGGAGTCTCAGACCAGCAGAGATTCCTTATGCCTGAAGAAGGGTGACTGTACCTGAAAGCTTTCCAAGAACTTATTTCCAACTACTCAGTTGGTCTAATAAAAAATATCACATCTACTCAAAGAACCTTTCCTGCCCATGGAAATGTAGGGTTTCCTCCTTCAGGCTGTCTGAATTCTAGCCTGTAAGGGGCTGCTTGGGGTTGGGTGGAGCGGGACATAGACAGCTCCATGTGCATGTGCACACATGCATGTAGCAGCCAGGCAGGGTGGTGGACAGCAGGTCGTGCAGCTCCCTCCAGGTAAGTCTAAAGTGGCAGGGGAACACAGTAGACATATGAAGGGGATGGGTGGACACAGACAACATGGCAGGGGAAAAAGGGGAACATGCTCCCCCCTGGCAGCTAGGCTGTGGAGGCTACACCCTGTGCCCTGCTGAGGGCACAGAAATGTGAGAGGGCATGTGCTGCCCCCAGCCCTGATGCATTGTCTGTGTCCCCACCTCTTCCCCACAGACCCACCCCATTCCCCATGCCTACCTTCCTCACACACTGTGGGGGTGGGGGTAGGGGGCAGTGAATTGGCAGTGAGGGGCACTGGCAGGGTTGGGGGGGATGGGGGTCAGAAATGAGGGGCACTGGCAGGGCCAGGGGACTGTGGGTTGGGAGAGAGGAGCACCAGCAGTGTTAGGGGGCTGTGGATTGGGTATGAGGGACACCAGCGTGTCTGGGGGGATGTGGGACTGTGGGTCAGGGACCAGGGCAATGGCATGGGCAGTGGCAGGGCACCAGCATATCAGGGCTGCTCAGCACCACAAGGAGCAGGGGGAAGGGGACAGCTACAGTTAGACCCACATCCTGGTGAGTGAAGGGGGCAGGGGGAAATCAAATGCCAATATATATAGGTATTTAGAATTTATTTTGTTATAATGATTGAGGCACCAGTAGGCTTCTAAATGGCTTTAAAATTGAAAATATATCAATAAAACGTTGTGTTCAACTGATACCTAGGTATATAGCGGCATT